CCCCCCCCCGCCCCAGGCCAACCGGCCCAGCCCATGGGGGCTCCCATCAGAATCAAGGGCCATGGCCAGTGAGCCAGGCACCCTGTCCCTCTCACCTCCAGGACACTTCGTGCTCTTTGAAACCCACATGCTGGGCCCGGGGGGCCAGGCAGCCTGGCTGCACAGCCAGCCTCTGCCCGCCACCGAGGCCTCCTGCCTCCGCTTCTGGTACCACATGGGCTTCCCGGAGCACTTCTGTGAGTGGGGCCGGGCCGGTAGCGACGGGTGCTGGAAGCAGCGAGGGCGGATGGGGGCAGCCCTGCCCCACCGGGCTGGGGACCTGAGCCGCCCCGGCCCCCTTCTTGCAGACAAGGGCCAGCTGCGGGTGCTCCTGAACAGCGCCCGGGGCCAGCTGGCCGTGTGGAGCATGGGCGGGCGCCTGCGGCACCAGTGGCTGCTGGGCCAGGTGGAGGTGGCCAGCGCAGAGGAGTTCCAGGTGAGGCCGGGCTGCCCGGAGCCTGGCGGTTGCGGAGGCCCCAGGCCCCGCCCTCCTCCTCCAGCCTGCGCAGCCAGCCCCCTCTCCCTCTGGTCAGATCGTGTTTGAAGCCACTCTAAGCGGCCAGCCAGCCGTGGGGCCCATCGCCCTGGACGACGTCGAGTATCTGGACGGACGGCACTGCCAGCTGCCTGCACCCGGCCGGGGTAAGTGCTCCCCAGGTCAGCCAGCCCCGCCCCAGATCCGGGACTCCGTCAGGCTTGGCAGCCTGTGGCTTGCACGGCTGCCCAAGGAGCCAGGAGAGCCACCAAGGCGGGACCTGCCCCGCCCCTCCCCCTGCCCACTGTCCCCTCCCTTTCTGGGCTGGGCCACCCCTGCCCTTGGTCCCTCAGGAGCTGAGTCGGCTCTCAGCCGGCCTCTGCACTCCACACCCACTCCCAGACCCTGGAGGAGGTGCCCAGCGGGCCGGCGGCCGTGGCCAGCCTGCCTGTGGAGCCCACGCGGCCCACTGTCTCTTTGTGATGGAGGGGCGGCTCTAGCTTGAGGCTGTGACCCCCGCCAGGTCTGGAGCCTCGTGCTGGCACGACCTGCCGGGGTTTCAAGGATGGGACGTCCCAAGTGCCGCCTCAGGGGACAGGGCCGACAGGCAGGGCTTGAGTCCACGGGCTCACGCGGTCCTCGGACCACAGGGGACACGGTAGTGGCCACATCGGTGCCAGCCGCGGTCGGCGGTGCCCTCGTCGTCCTTGTCCTCCTCGTCCTGCTAGGACTGGCAGGACGACGCTGGCTGCAGAAGGGGGGCTGCCCATCGCGGGGCGAGACAGCGGCTGTGGCCCCCGGCTTTGACAACATCGTCTTCAATGCGGTAGGAGCCCCTGGGTAGGGACAGGTGGGCAGGGCCGACCGGGGAGAAGCCCCCTGGTCCGCTCTCCCTGGCCAGGGCCGTCCACACGCGCAGCGGCCACCCGGCAGTCAGAGGCCCCTCTCCTTCCTCCTAGGACGGTGTCACCCTGCCGGCCTCGCTCACCGACAGCCAGTAGATGACGCAGAGAAGACTCTGGCTCCTCACAAGAGGGTCGCCCCCCGCCCCCTTCCCCCAATCCCTGGCAGACAGAGCCCAAGGAACAACCCCTGCCCCTCCCCCAGGACACACTGAGCCCCCACGCAGTCACCCGGCACCGAGACTGCCACCCGCGTGCCTGGGTACGGTCCTCACCCCAACAATAAACGCCCTGGTCCCCGAGGGCAGCCCCCGCTTATTGGCTGAGGTCTGTGCACCCTGCTCTGTCAGCGGGAAGGTGGGCTCTTGGGGATCCCCAGAACTGACCCAACCTGCCTGAGAGGACGTGCTTGGGGGCACCTCCCACAGGTCTCAGTGACTCAGCTGACAGGTAACAGGCAAGCCACACGGGACGGGGCCGAGGGCTAGAGGCACCAGAGGCAGATACAGCGGGACCCCGAGAAGCCCCTGGCCGGGCAGGCACCCCAGCACTCAGGCCGTCCAGCCCAGCCTGTGGGAATCTGACCCAGGCCCTGTCCAGCCCCTGCCTCGCTGGGTGATTCTAATTCAGGACAGAGAGAAACCCCGGACACGGACTGACTAGCAAACGCTGAAGCGGCTGTCAGGGACATAAAGCCGGTCTGGTGAGGAAACGCCCTGCTTTGTCCGTGACTCCACATAAAGGTCCCACGTCCACTGTCCCATGGTAAAGGGTCCGTGCCATTAAGTGTCCCCGAGCTCACCACCCCGTGGGCAAATCCGAGTGGTCCCCGGAATGATGTGTCTCAGAGGTCACTCGGTGCCCTGGGGATGCCGCTGAGGTCACTGGAAGGCAAACCCAAGGCTCCCGCCCTCCCGACCTCACGGGGTCCAAGGATGAAGGCAACCCCCCTCTCTCGGAGGTGTCAAGGCCCCTGGTGTGCCTGCATTCCCTCCTTGCCTAGTACAACGGAGTCGAATCTTCCTAACCCAGGGAG